TAATGACTATATATATATATATATAAATATATATGTAATAATTATACTAGAAGTTCTTTGTACTTCCACGACTGGTAATCTAATATTTTCAGTTATTATATAAATATCTCATTATTAATAGTATAAAACTTTTAATTCGAGACGACATAAAATTTCTAATAAAATACTTATGGAAAGAATTCATACTTGGTTTCAAATCCATTTGGAAATAAAATTCGTAATCATATCAGAGACAAATATTATTGAGTTTGAAAATTGATTTATAGGGACTCACGTTTCTCGAGGTGTTAGTTAAACAATCATAGTTGCTCTACCTTTAAGTATGTCAGCGATATCCGTCTATAATTACTCATCATAATAATAAACTTACACACGTGCACCGTCCACCGTCAAATATACGGTTCCTATATTCAAATCGATTAGTCATAAGTTCGACGTGATGGTTTGTTGGCGCTCGACCAGAACGATGATTTATTTACACGAAAGAAGTTATAAAATATCGGTTATTTGATCGACAATTGGATCTACCTTTAACGTATTGATTCTTAAGATAAGCAATCTTTGATATATTTCTTGTTTAAAGTTTTCATAAATAACATTTTACTTGCAGAAGTCGATCTTTTTATAAGGCAATGTCCTGTAAACAGGACGTAGATTTTTGTAGTTATGCAATTACTATGTATTACGTGGTATCGATGGTATTGCAAATAAGTGGCTAGAAAAGAAAGAAAAAAGTTCTGTCAAAACTGATTTGAGTTTAATTACTGAAACATTCGCGTATATAAATAGGATACAAATATATGTGATTGATGCGTATTGATGGATATGTGTATTCACTTCTGAATATTCTACTGCACACTTCTACTGCACTGTCCAACTTAATAATAATATATTTATATATATAAATATATACATTTTGTAAGTTATTTTGTAAACCATAAGGAGTCATACTAATAAGCGTTTTTTAAATTAATATTGTTTTAATATAGCATATTTTTTTTATTATCGCAATCAAAACATATTTTAAATGTCATAAAATTCAATTATTAATGAATCTGTCTTTCTTAATCTTCTTCCATCATTCTTTTAATTTAAAAATATTTAATTTTGATTGTGACTCCTTTATAGCAAGCACCTTAACCGGAAATCTTAATTTACTCCACCCAATTCGTGCTGTTTATGAATCATTACATAACGTCACACTAGAGTAGGAAGAATCCGCCCGTCATACCAAATCAGTACCTCATCATATCGCAAACAAAAATGAATACATATTTATAATTAATAAATTATTTAATAATTAATTGTAAAAAATGTGAAATAGTTGTAAATGAATATTTTCGTATCAAATATTTTTACTTCTGTTCTCATAGTTGTCAACGTGTTTCTCTCGTTTCAACATTTACGCCGTAAATTCACACAAAATATAATATATTGAAGTATTTATTTACAATTCATTTTTAAAACGAGAAAAAAGGTTTTATTTTAGACACAGATACTTGCGTGCGACTCATTCATTATGGCAGTATTTGAAGAAACGAGAAAAGTACTCTGCAGGAATTTTTAGAGCGAGCTTATTAATTGAGTGGAGTCGATAAATCGAGAGAAAATATGATTGTCCTTACAAAATTACTCGACCATTTGTTCCGCCGGCAGTACATTTTACCTCGAGTATTTCTTGTTTTAACACTCTGAATGCACGGCTAAAATTTCGAGGGCCCTCGAGCTTCAGAAACGCGCAGACTATCTACACTTAAGTAACCGAATGCTCGAGTGCTTCTCTTCTCTCATCAGTTCCAGTACGGGTTTCACGAGTAGAGGTACTCTTCCTTGTAAATCTCGAAGGAGTTTCAGCGGCTTCTCGTAAGAGGTTCGTACTTTAACATACATTTTCTCCGACTCACCCATTAGTTTAGCTAATTCAAACATCAATTAGTCGCTACAATATTCCTGAATTGATATTCTTATTCAGAATGGAATTCATGCACGTAGTGCTAAAGTTTATTGATATCTTCTTTCTTGTAAACGTCTTTCTTTGTCTTCTAAAAAGTAACCAACCGCTTCGAGAATTCGCTAAATCCGAGAAAATATCTTCTTGCTCATTTTCTTTTCTTTTTTCTCTCTTTTGTCTATGCTTAATTGCTATCTTAATGCTATTTGTATCGTTAAAGACGTTAGTGAAGCGTGAACCTTTAAATACCGCTAGTCTTGATGCGGGTTACAAATCGATTTCTGTTAACTAAAAACAGTAACCAGGGCCGCATTAATCGTTCAAACAGTACCGAAAATTTCAGTTCGAGCAACACGAAGAATAAATTCGTCCGCTCGCTCCTGTTCTCCTTGCAACCCGATCAGAAGTAGCCACTAGAGGACACAGTTAGCTGTTTCTAAAAATATTCTTAAATAAAACCTACTCATTGCATTTTCAAGGTGGTCTTAGTCGCAAGTGAGCTCCGCGAAATATGTCGTATGTGTATGTATGCGTGTGCCTGTATGTATGTATGTATGCAGAAGAGTCGGTCGCCAACTTTTCAACAAATACCTCCAAAGTCCAACATGCGCAAGCCATCATTCAAATTTCAATCACAGTCGCTGATGTAGCATTGTGCTTTCCTCATAAAGATAAACCGCGTCAGCAAAATTCAGTCGCGATTGCTATTTTAACTTAATACTTCGGCACATTTTGGTGATCAAAAATAAATGTCGAGCATACGCATCTATATACGAAGTAGATGCGTATGTTAAAGCCTGCCAGACATTTTATATATTTAGCGTTTTACGAAAATGTAATATTGCACTGTTACAACGTACACGTTTTGTTATATAACTTGTGACCATCTTAAAATACGTCACCTTCATAAAAGTTACGATATTCATGAGCTGTTCCTTGCTAAATATTACTTCAGCTAAGAAGAGTCGAGTCATCCTCTTCGTTGTAGATCTCAAGTTCGCGTAGGTGTTTGCATTCAACGTTTTTGACATTTATGTGATTTTCATCGCGTCAGTCAAAGTAATTTTTAATGTTCGTGTAAACTTATTTTCCCGCGTTCTATTATCGATATATTATCTTTTAAATAAATCTTCCAAAAATGTCGGCCTAATGAATATCTACTAATGAACATCTGTGTCGATATGAATATTCACTCGAACATTACATAATCGATTTTTATGATTCTTATCAATGATACGTTGTGAAAAATATTAAATGCATTAAAGGCAGTTCAGATGCGCGATGCAAGGGATAAATGTCTCTTTTGGATGTTGATCTTTTACATTCTACCTTCTTACACGTGCGCATTTCATCCATTGCAAACATAATGAAAATGAATAGGAATGAAAGGGCGAAGTATATGAATTCTTTGATAACTTACGATTATGAGTATGCATATGTGTATATGTGTGAATGTATATGTGAACTCTTGCATTCTTCATTATCATTTTTGCCGTTTACTTTTGCGAATGCGCTGTACGAACGAATTCTTCTTGTCCTTTAAGGCATCATTTTGCGTGGTGTCAGCCACTTCTTCATGTAGTAACAGAAGATTGTGGAGATGTAGATGAGTACCAGAAGAGCACACGTCACCCCGAGCGCCAGCACCGAGGTTTTCGTTGGACATGGTTCCACGATGGTCACTGTTTTGTCTGAAAATAAAATTATCATATCCAGTTAATAACGTTACGAGCATTTCTGCCAAGATTTAAATGCGTCTTCCTCCGTAATCTTACCCGCTTCATTGAAATCTATGCTAGCGTCGCTCTTTAGGAAATCAGATTGTTTCTCATCGCCAAAATCGAGTACTAAGATCTCTTGAGACAGAGTCATATCTTCGGCTTTCTCCTCCGTCGAGTTCGCGAGACTTCTTCTGCGTCTCTTGCCCCATGATTCCACGGATTCACGTCCCCACTCGCAAACGGCCTGACATCAAAGAGAAAAAAAGAAAATGAAATTAAAATTCTTTTTCTATAATAAAAGAGATGAGAGAACTAGATAGTTAGATTACCGGATCGCAAGGTCCTAGACAATATTTCACGTTACACTGGAAGATCACACCGTAAGATTCGGTAAACCTGAAGGCCTCGTATACAGATTGCAGAGCGTTACCATCGGGAGTGAAACTGGGGAAGATGGAAGGATCGACAGGACATCTGAAAATTTAAATAATATTTATATTTATATATATTTACAATTTTATATAAGTTTTATGCTTTTTGCACAAATCGTGCGAAATAAAATAAAATTATCTTACCCTTCGTCGTCGATAATTTGAAATGTGCTTTTCGAGTCCTTTGCCATAGCTACGCAGCTGCGAGCGAAAATACCGTAAGGAGCTGCATATAAAACATTAATATTAATTGTTGTGTAACGGATTTGTCACATTCAATTATTAAAATAATTGATATTTCTTTAAAAGAAATTAATTAAATAAAGCGAACTTACTGTCTTCCGGGATTTCGATTCTAAACGTCAGTTTGTCCCCGATGCGCACAGTTTCAACCTCACGCGATCGGCTGTCAAGGATGCGAATCCTCGGTGGAGGTGCTTCCGGTGCGCTGGTGATACTGATCATTTCCGGATCTCTGATCGGCATCATACCGAAAGTAATATTTTTCGAGGACATGTCGTACGTACATTTAACTTTGTAGATTTTGTCAGCCTTTGTCATTACCACGGAATGATGTTGCAGTACAACCGTGTTCGAATATATTCCAGTCTGAAAACCGTCACGCTGCCATGGTGAAAAGAAAGGATGAACAGAGATTATGTACTTAAAGAGAGAGGGTTGTGTGAGGGTAGTGAATCTTTATCAACTTTATAATAATATATAAATGCCTCGAAAAAAAAAAATTTTAAAAGTGCATATTGTATATTACATAAGAGTGCAGTGTTAATCAGCGATCAAATAATAAATGTGACACATCGAGATGTAACAATATTGAATGTAACATCGACAAAGCGTTTGTAACCCAATAATAATGCTAATTACCTAATGTAATTATTTCTAAGCATGCATATTTTAAAGATAGCAATAAAAATATTGTAATTGCAATGTCGTGACTTTTATGATATACAAATACTTAGAAAAATACTAATAAATTAATTAGTATAATATTGAAAAATAATTGTGAACTGAAAAAATATGATTTATAGTACAAGTTACAGCATTTTTTATTATTATCATCTCATATATACTTACCACGCTTTGAGTGTTGCAATCTTGTCCGCTCATTGTGAGATCAAGCCTGAAGAGATCGCTATTAATAACATCAATATTGCAAGTCTCAGATCGTCCGAGAGCGTAAATGCGCCCATTGAAGGGCTTATTTGTACGGACTTGAACGGCAATACGGGTATCTTTGCAGTCCACCGATACTGTAATATTGATCGTTAAAAGAATTTGCACTTTCATACATTATACATTATATATTACGTTATTAAAATATTAATTCTACCATCGTAGCAAGTTCCAGTTTTATCGCAATTAATATCATTTCGGGTGAGGTTGTTTATCGTAGGGTCTTCCGTGGTCTCGAAAACGACCGGCAATGGATCCGATATTAGCCCGGTACCCTCTGAAATAACGTATACATGTTACCAATATATCGCGTATGGATGTGTAAGCCTTTTTAATTAGCATCCCTTACTTTCGCAGAAATTCTCGAAGTAGGTGCCAACTCGTTCTCCATTGTCGATCAAAGGCCTCTCCGCGTTGAGATACGTCGAAGGTCCATCCGGGAGAGTCCAGTGATCCAAATGGAAGAGCTGACAATTATGAGCTGACCCCTGCGGCGCGCCGCGATAAAGGAAGGATCTGCAAAGAAACTCGTTCTCGATTTCGCAGGCCAATCTGCAGGCGGATTCGCTTTGAGCCTGCAGCTCCTTATCGGTGTAATAATGCAGGCCCGCGTATTGTGCAACTTTATCGTCCGCCACGCCGATTCTTGGCATTTGGAAGATCCTTTGAGCTTTGCAGGCATCCTTTGCTGTCGGTGCCCGAAATAAATGTATAATTTTTATTCTTTTTCCTCGAAAATATCGAGAATAATTTTTTCAACATTTTTTTAAGATCGATTTACCTTTTAAGCATAAATTCTCAAAGTAATCCACTCCTTGCGCATCCACGAATTGTACATATTGACCCGTCGTTCGACGATCTGAATCGCTCAGGTGACATTGAAGCGTCACGTAATTATACTCCACGGAACGACAGGTAAAGCGATGTTCATTTAAGCAGGCAGCGAGACATGCCTCTTTTGTGGACGTGTAAATTAATGCGTTGTCCAAGCCGCGGATCATCTTGTTCGGAATGCGCTCGAAGGCCCATGGTCGCAAACAAACGTTTTCTAAAATAATATATATAGAGATAAATTTAGTTCTCTTTTGCTTTCTTGTAATATGATCCTCGATGTCTGGTTACAAATTTTACAAACGCGCTTATAAATTTGTAGCTATATAAGAATTTTAATCGGTTTTTATTATATACCTTATAAATCAATATAGCCGATAACATTCACATTAAAATTGTCAACTTTCTTCAGTTGTTTTTTTTTTTTTTTTTACTAAAAGTTGGAAATTTGTCAACAGAAAGATTTCTAGATAAAAGCCGGAAAAATTACAGTTTCAGAGTCAAGTAATTTTATGGCTTGTGTTTAGGACTGACGGTGTCAAGGTGTAAGGTAACAGATTAAACCATTAAAAAAACTAAAGATAGCGTCGACGCTTTGCTCTGTAAGTTATTGCTTCCTTCTCTGAAGCGATAATGCGCTTGTCGAAACACATCCGGGGTATGCCGTAACAAAAGAACGGCGGGAACTGTCGAGCGCAACCCGGTGAAGATCCCGAGCTGAAAAATCATAAGACGCTGGCATGTGACTTGATCCGATGCCGAGCGATGACGCACATGCCCGCGCTCTTTGGCACACGGGCCCGGAATGTATTTCAGCCGTGCCCGTTTGGCGTTCCAATTTCTTTTGTTCCACCCTCAAAACCGGCGCTAGAGTACTGCCGATGGCGGAAGCGGTGCCAACGAACCGCTGTGACTACTTCACGGATGAATCATCATCACCGATCGTGCAAGTTTCTGGTCGCAGCCACTGCGACAAATCGCTCGAACGAACTGACTTCGTCAAAAAACGATAAAACACGGTAATTATTTTGCGAATCAATTATTTCAACTATATTTCTTGACATTCTAATATTTAATTTCAAATATTACGCAGGGAGAACGGTTTCTTTGGATTTAATTAAATTTTATTAGAAATTAAATTTCAAAGAAATTTACCTCTTGAAATAGAAATCAATAATTATTGATTCAACAAATCGATTCGTTTGATTTTTCAAATAATAAATAGCTTTATTTCAAATAAAACATTTGTTTAATAAATTGTTTGAAAAAAAAAAAAATAATGCTCTTTATGTGTTTCAATAATATGAAAAATCTCTTTCTTTCATTGAAACAACATTTAATTTAGCCAAACAAAGTATTATTTAGTTCAAGGATAAATTTTATTTCCTTTAAGTAATAGTGTCCTTTCTATTAAACATAGTATATTCTAACGAGATAACAAAACTCTTAATTCAATAAAATAATGTTTAGTATAAAATTATGATGTTTAAATTAAATAAATTCAAGTCAAACAAATAGAATTGGTAAATCTAAGTAAGGAACTTTTTTCTCAGTGTATGTCGCTATATTTTGCGATCGAGCATAAGAAATAACTGATAAATAATATATCACTTTTTTATTAAAAAAAAAAAAAAAAAAAAAACTAAAGAAAATAAAGAAAAAAAAGCTTAACTTGAATATCATTACCTAATAGCATATTATTTATCTTTAAAGGATTATCTTAAATTAAAAATTATAGAAATATTCAAATTATAAAAGTGTCCAATTTATATAGCACGATAATATTCAGAATTATGTTCAACACATTTAGAATGAATGGAACGCACTATAGAATTAGGCTCGGTTAGTTTTACAGCTGCTGTTTGAATGTAAAACTCTACCAGTTTGTAAGCTGATTCATAACGATCAATGAGATCCATTTTCGAAATTTTTCATTCGTCCTTCGTACAAGGAGCAGGTACTGAGTGATTTTACGACGAGCAACTAGACGCCTCACGACGCGGAACAACTCGCCAAGAAAATCGCCCTACTCATTAAATAGACACGCAATTTCTTCAAGAAATTTTCCTCCAGAAATTCCTGCTCGTGCCACACGCACGTTAAGTGCTGAATGAGATTTGATTGTCAATTACTTGAAGTATTATAGAATTTCACAAAGATATTGAGCAATTATTAAAAATATGCACAACTGTATAAGTTTATGGAAATATATAAGATATATATATATATATATGGATGTATAAGAAATGTTATAAAAAAATTCTCTGATGAAATAATTAAAAATATATAAAACAAAAAAAGTAAATAAATAAAGTAAACTATATCGATCAATATTTGGCATATCCAAAATAGTTTTTTTTTTAACTGACTGGATACCTAAGCATTTCGATTTCATTCGAGATTGAACATTCTGAATGCGATTATTAAATTTCATATTCATAACATTAATCATAGATGTCATGAAAAGAATTCTTTTTGAAATCCTTTCGTGTTCGTGTTCTAACTTGATAAAGCTTTTGTAAATAACAATTGGCGGCAAACATCAAGAAACACTAAATAACCTGTAACTAACATTAAAATCTTCTTCTCCAGAGAACTCCAGGAAACTCCAGGAATTTTCAACACTCCTGCGATTCTACAGGTAGTTATTTGGGACAGTAGTTCTGTTTAAACGCGTTCGACAGTTCCACCAGTGCCCCAGCAGATTACCTTGCACGATCAATATTCTATGACTAGA